CCCGCCATGTCTCTCTCGCGCCTGAGCCAGCTGAGCGCCACCATGGCGCCCAACCTCCTGCGCATGGTGTGGCTTCCTACTGCCTCCTCGACGACGGCGGCCGCGGCGGCCACGGCCACGGCCACCATCCCCACGCGCTTTGTCGCCCCCGAGGTGGGCTCCTGCGGCCAGTCCGCCGCCACGACCGATGCCCCCGCTGCTGGTGGCCGGCCAGCGGTCCTGCGCGCCGTGGTCGGCGGTCGGACGGCTCTTCTGCCCCCTTCGGCGGATGGCTGCTCGGCCCAGTGGCCCACCTGTGGCAGCTGCTCGGCCTGTCTGGCGCCGCTGCTGCGCGTGTGGGTTGACCACCAGGCCGATGGGCCCGGCCCCGGGGCCACGGTCAGCCCGCTGCTCGGGTTCTCCGCGCTGCAGGTCCTTCAGTGCACCAGCGACCAGTGCGAGTCGCCGCAGGATGCCTCGGTCGCCTCGCGGCTGGTGGTCGCCCGGGACGGAGCGGCCCCCGCCTTCGCCGGGGCCGGAACCAGCGCCCTTGCCGCGGCTCCCGGCATCCCGACCGACGGCCAGGCCGAGGCGCACCAGCACTCGCTCTTCACGCATCCCGGCCTGGGACGCCTCCTGCATGCCAGCGAGCTGGAGCTGACCGCCGCCGGGGATGCCAACCTGCTGGAGGCCGATGGCGGCTCGCTCGGGTCCGAGGGTGTCTCGGCCGAGGCGCTGGCCGGCGCCACCCCCTCGGCGGCCATGGCCTCCGGGGCGGAGCTGCGCCGGCTCCTGCGCGCGGCCACCCTGCCGGCCGATGGCCTGGAGCTGCCGACCGTGTCGCACCTGATGTCCCGGCAGCCGGACCTCGAGCAGCTGGCCGACAGCCTGGCCGAGGTGGAGGGCGCCGCGCCCCTGGAGACGGTCCTGCAGCTGAGCGGGCGCCAGCCGGACACCGGCATCAAGGCCGGCGGCTGGCCGGCCTGGCCTGACGGCGACCTTCCGGCCGGTGGCCTCCTCGGGTGCGAATGCTGCGCCAAGGGGGCCGCCTGTGCCTCGCCGGATGCCAGCGTCCTGCTGATGCAGATCCCGGCCGAGGCGGCCGGTCTCGGGGCCTCCTCCACCGGCGATGACATCGAGGATGACCATGATGATGGCGCCGCCGCCGACACCGAGTCCAGCTGGTATGACCAGAGCTATGTCGGCATGGTGCTGGCCTGTCCGTCGGGCAAGTGCGTCAACTTCACCTGGACTTCGCCCTAGGTTGCCTCCCCCCCCCCCCCTCGGTGATGATGTGTGTGTGTTGGTTTTTTCCCTTTCCTGCGCGCACGCGTGTCGAGGCGCCCCGTCCCTCCGGCCCATCCACTCCCCCCCCCCTCCCCCACCTTCGAATACACCCCCCCATATAGACAACCACCCAACCATGCCCTGCATATTGGCCTTTCCCGCACACCACGGGCCCTCGAAGGTGCATCCCAGCCAAGCAGGAGGAGCACATGCAGCCGGTGCCCCCCGGCGGACGGTGGGCATCTGTCTATTCGCCGCTCACCGCGGCGCCTCCCTGATCCAGCGGCTGGAAGTATCGGTGGAGAACCAGCCCGCAAGACCGGTCAGCAATCAGCTGCCCGGCGCTCGAGTCCACCAGCGATCGCAGGGTCTCGGTGGCCGGGGCATCTCCGGCAAAGGCAGCCCCGAGGCCAGCAGGCACGGCCTCCGCACTGATCAGTGTCTGGGGGTCTGTCCCCTCGTCGGTGGCCGTGGCCGCGGCCAGGAAGTGTGCATTCCCCTCGTGCAGGTGTGACCACTGGTCGCGGAGAGTATTCAGGGCAGACTCGCCGATCTCCTCGGTCCCCTGGGCAGCGCGTGGCCGGACGCACTTGATGCGCTTGGCTCGCGAAGGGTGGGCGAGGACCTGGGATACACGATGGCGGGGGCGGTCAGGGCGGGGGGCGAAAAGACAAAAAAAAAAAGGAACCGCGTGTGGGTCCACCCCGCGATGATGGCCAGGCAGCCAAGCACCGGGACATACCTCGTCCAGGCATTCGCACTTGAGCAAGTCATGGGTGAGGCTCAGGGTGTCGCCATCAAAGCTGAACAGCTTGCGGAGCTCGGCCCGCGAAAAGGTGGTCTTCACCTTCTTGCCATCCTGAGGCCAGGTTCAAGTGGGGGATGGCCAGGGGGGGGTGGGGGGGGGGGGGGGGGGGGGGGTGAATAGGGGCCCTGCTCTGGGGGGAGGGGAAGGGGG